GACCTTTCCTTTGGATAAAATAAAAAGTCGATGGCGACTCTTGTTAAACCGAACAATTGCGAACACAAACGCAAAACCTCAAGTCAGTTCTCCCACCGTATCACACCTACCAAGAGCCATCATTGGTTCTGTGTATGAGAAGTGGCTAGAGACCAAGAAATTTGTCATGGATTTCACTATATAGTTTAATTTTGGTTTTTGGTTACAATAATGTAATGAAACAAGTAAGATAAAACATCTTAAACCAAAATATATTTTCTCTTGCTTCTTGATTGGATAGTGTCTACAAAATAGCTAACCATATCTACTATTTTGATTTCAATTAGGGATGACAAAAATATCTGTACCCGCGAATATCTACGGGTAAAATCCGTCACGGATATGAGATGGATAATTTAATGAATATCCACTAATAAAATACATAGATATTTAAATACTCGTTTGTAAATGAATATGAATGTGGGTTTAATGATACCCGTATCCGCATATATCTGAATTTGTTAATAAATTATAAAAATTATTTAAACATGTTTATTACACCTTGTCTTTTCAACTTTTAAAAAAATGAGTCTTATATTTATTTATTTTTTGAAAATTTCTTTGAAGAAAACATTTCATATTCTATACAAATCTTATTTGCCCATTTCATATTTAAACTTCTTCAATACTCCATGTCTCACTTCAGTTATTCCACCGTTCAACCAACCAATATCGCTATTCCTCTGTCCAACTAGTGCCTTCCTTCCTACTCTTCACCCATTCGCTCTTCTACCATAACTGTTCTTAATTTGAGAGTAAATTGTATGGATGCTATGTGATAATAACTTTTGTGTCTTTAAATATATTTTTTTTTTGAAAAAAATGTTATCCATAGATATTTGTAAATATCCGCGGGTATCTTAAAACCCGCAAATTACTCGCTTAACAGGTACCTGCACAAATATGGGGAGAATACATATATCATATTTATCAAATGGGACGGACACGAATATAGTAGTATCCTTCCCATGAATATCCATTTACATTCCTAATATCAATCTCCGATCTTTGATGAACTTCATTCTTGACACCACGATAGCCTTCACTTAATCGTAATTGCAAGCCTTGAATCCTTTCTTCAACAAGTTGACAAATACAATGAAACTTCACTTAAATGGAAAAGAGCCTTCTGTCTTTTTCCTCTATGGAACTTCAATCTTAAATTCTAGTAATATAAAACTGCTTGAAAACTTCACACTTTAAAGAACAATTAGCACTCTAATGTTTTCTTACAATCAATATTCACACACAGACACAAACATTGACATTTACACACACACAAAGGTTGATTATTTTCCATACACAAAATAAAGATAAATATTTGAGAGGGACCAAATTGTGTTTCTAGCTATGACTCTTGATATTTTTCATCTATATGACTTTAAGAATGAAAAAACTTTATACACGTGCTTGAGATATAACACTGCTTTTGAGCAAAAAAAAAAAGGTCTTAAATGATCATATTCAAAGATTTTATTGAATCAATTCAATTGTTAGATATTTGCCTTAAATAATCATATCATGAATTGGATCATGATCATGATCTAAACATTTTTTTAGATTGATTCACAAGAAGATTTTAATTTTAGATAATGAGTTTGTTAAATCAAATGTGTGAATTGATTCCCACGTACATAAGAAAAACATGATAAAAAACTCCAACTAATAAATCCATTCAATTCATTCACAAAATCAAACTCACTTGAATTTTGAAAAATCTCATTTGAATCAATTTATGCAAACTTAACATTTTGAATCAATTCACAAATCACTTTGACTCAATTATTTAAGTTGAACTTAAGTCAAACATATATTTTATGTTGAAAACCCATTTTTATTTTATGTGAGGGGATTAATGAAAAAACTCAAAATACAATAAATTACTAAAAGTAAAACATCAAAATACAAGATAATTCGATAATGCACATGTGCATCTTTAGTCTCCCCTTCTTAATACTTGAAAAATTTGAGTATTTGAGTTACTAATGGAACCATGCCCTCACATTAAACACTCATTTGTTGAGCCAATTTAAATTTGATGCGAAATCCTTCTCCTCCTTTCTAAAAGAGGAAAGAAAACCTTTTAAATATAAAAATGATAAGTTATACATCTTTTAAAAATGGACACACCATTAATTTTTAGTGTAAAAATATGAAAATAAAATTAAAATAGTTTCATTTTAAAAGTGAATAACTAATATTGAGAATGCGATAAAATAGGAGAATTAAAATTATAATTAAATCTAAAAATAATATAATTATAAGGGTGTGATTATTTAAGAGATTATAAATTATATTATTGAAAATATGACATTGAAAATGAAACAATTCCATATTTGTTTCAAGTTTATATAAAGTGTTCCTAAATACTTTTTTTCTTAAGAATGTTGTTACATATGGATTTTCTCAAATTTAATTTTTTTATTTTAAAGGTGAAAATCCAACATTCTCTTGAAAACAATGCTTAACTAATTACAACTTCTTACTTATAATCATATTTTATTTTTATTTTTTATTTTTTATATTTTTAAATTAAATAAAATTTGCAACTTTCATAAAATATATAATTTTTTACCAAACACTTGCATAAAAATATCATTTCTAAAAATGATAATCATGAAAATTAGATTTTAAAAAAAGATATTTCTTAACTTAAAACAAATACACCAAAAAATGTAATGTATAAGTCATGATATTAACTCCAAACTATAGTTAAGATTAATTTTTATTTCTAATAAAACAATAAATATTATAATTAAAAGATAAAATAAAATAAATTAATATTTGAGATAATCATTTTATTAATGAACAGATTTTTAACTCTAATCTAGAGTTCACATGATTTTTTATTTGTACCAAAATAAAATAATGTTATTAAAGTTTAAAATAACTATTTCATTAATTACGAAATAAATCTATGATTTCATTTTGATTGATTATTAAGATATATTTTAATTAAAATTTGTCACCAATACGTATTTTTGGTCTTAATTATTTATTTGTTATGTGTTTTTGCGTAGAAAATTGAAAAAATTATGATACTAATACATGAGAGTTTTTTTTTAATTTTAATTTTAACCAAACTTATTTACTTTATTAAGTTATTAAATTAAATATAATAATGAGAATAAAGTATAAATTTAAAATGATTCACAATAAAAAGATTAATAATACTAATGAAAGTGAGAGAATATATTTGATTTGATTGACTCTTTATTATTAGTCTGATTTGATTGGTTAACATATTTGATTTGATTTTTATATTTGTCTGGCTTTTTAACTAGCTTTAATTATCTAAAGCTATTATATACTAATATAAATATGAGTCTTTCTTCTTTTAAAAAGGGTACACGACAGCTCTAAGCAAGAAAAAACTAGTAAGAATTGATTGTGAGGATTTTAGAACCGGTAGGTTTTTCTTTCTCTCTTATTTTTATCTTCTTTTTCTGGCTTGTTTTATGTCGTTTTAGTTTAATTTATTACTCTTTATTATCTAACAAAAACAGAAGAACAATGTATAGAACTTGAGTGTAGTAATAATTTGATTTAAAGGACTATTATATTCTACTTCATATTTAATTAATTATGGATAAAAAAAAAAAGTCAATGAATTAATAAGATAAACAATTTTTTTCTTTGATAAACAATTGAATTATATTTTTCACAATTTTATCATACTCCGTATAATATTTTCAGGTGAGATTCATTTAAAAACAGTTGAATTATAATACGGAGTATTTTTTAATCCGTATAAAAAATTCATTTGAAAACAGAATGAATTGAATGACACATGAGAGAAAGTTCCAAATTTCAAATGAAAAATTTCTCTGCAGGGCAGAGAACAGGAGAAGTTCTCGTGAAGTAGTTGCACTTCCACTGGCTGGGCCCTCCCGTCTCCTCTGAATCAAAGATGTGACACTTTGAGAACCCTTTTGTAACCGCCAGCTATTACCTCTCCTCACCACCCTTTAACCACCATCTCCACACTCACCCTCACCCTCACCCTCTTGCCACGTAATTCTCCTGCTTACAACAAATCACCACGCGTCCACCCCACCCTCTTTCTTGGAATTACTCCAACACCACACTAATATTAATTCATTTGCAGTTGTACAGATACATCAGATGCAGAGATGTAAATTCAAACTCTCAGCATTTCATTTATTTTCTTTTAAAAGAGTGAATTTTAACTAGACTATTTAATTAAAAAAAATTATATATTTAATTATATTACGGAAAAATCACTATTCATTCATGTCATTACCTTATTAAAAACCCATAAATACCCCTCAATTCCGCGCGAAACTAAACTAACCGAACAAGGACAAACTCGTACTATTCTCCCATTGCCGTAACTAACTGGAAGGTAGGTGAGAGTTATCCTGTACAACTCCTCAGTTCAACAGATAAAGTACACATCCCTCTGAAACTTCCTGATTCGAGGGAGTTTTTCAGTTCAAGTACTTTGACGGTTCTAAGTAAACGACATACAAAATCAACGGTTGGATCTCATACTTGTCTATATACTATAACCCAACTAATTTCACACGTGATTATTCCTTTTTTTTTTCTGCCTCTTTCTTTTTCTCTGACCGATACAGAACCCAGACCTCATCGGTAACACCGTCTTTATCCATTCTTTTACTAAAGTACCCTTCACTCTATCACATTAATTACTCACTCTTTAATTCTTGTACCCGCCAATAAATAGTTACTATAACAGTAACGGCGATTCCGTCATATCCTCTAAACGCCGTTATCTTAAATCGTGTTTTCATTCAAAACGCGTTTTGCATATTGGACGGCGTGTTTGTTTCGTTGAACCACCTAACAACCACCACTACTTCTCCTCAAAGTTTCTTTCATTTAATTTAATTATTTTATTAACCAAACAAACCCATAAGTAAAATAATAAAATAAATTTAATATATTTCGGTTTTCAGAGCTAATAAAGCGATTTAATTATTTTGGAGTATAAAACTATAAATTATCACTTCCTTTCTCTTTTTCGGTTTGCTAACCTTTTGTTTCCTCTCTCTCCTCTCACTGTTTCTCTCCGTTTTTTTTCTCGCCGGGAAACCTTTTCCGTTCGCCGGAAAACCGTTTTTGATTTTTTCGTCCTTTTTCCTCGCCGTTGTGGGAAGCTCGTCACGGTGTTCCGATTGAAACGCTTGCATTCACTCTCAATTTCCCGTGGTTGCTCCTACCAGGCGTTGGATCTCTCCGTTACGCGGTATAAGTCTCGTATACGGCGTTGTTCGGGAATGTGGCGAGCCTTGTTGTCTTATAAGGCTAGCTTTTAATCTGCAACATTCAGGATCGTGATTTAGGGTTTGGTTCTGCGATTTCGTTATTCTTTTTGCTTTTGATTTCTCCTTCTAGTTAACGAAAACGGATACCTACAGGGAGACACTTCGGAATGAAATGGTAGGTTAATCGCGTTTTGGGGAATTTTTTCGTCTCGCGTTGTTTTTTCGTTTTTGATTCATGAATGCTTGAAATTCTCTGTGAAATGTATCTTCCTTCTGCTTATCGTTCAGATCTCGGACATTGTTATACTTTCTAACGGTTTCGACTTTCGATACGATTTCTCTCATTTTATTGGCTTGAATAATGATTTTTTCTATCTAAAAAAATATTTAGAAATTTTTTTATGAGAAGGACCAGGCTAAATTTTTTTCCTGTAGCTAAATTCTGAAGATATGAATAGGAATTCAGAAATTTATTTTAATCAAGGACTAACAGTTTTCTGCGCCTTTTTCTTTTTCTTTTTGGTTGAAATTTGTATGACCAATAGTACTTTTTGTGTGGTGGAGTTTAATGAGGTGGAAAACAAAGATGTTGATAGGAGTAATAGACTGTTTAAATTTCAGCGCATGCATTATTTGAAAGTTTCTATTCTATTTCTGTAGGATACGAGTAATTTTTTGTTGACTATTTCTTTTTCGATGGTGTTCTCTATATTCGGATGTTTTTTTGACTCTTAGTAATTACTTTTCCGAGTGAGGTGATTGTGCTTTCCCTTGTGTACTTTGAAAACGGTTTTGACATAGCTGGTAAATGTACCCTGATTGATCATTAAGTTATTGACTCCTCAATGATAACATTCAAAGCATATCTCATTCATTTTGCCCTAGGATTGTTTTGAGTTTGTTTGTTTTAAGGGTTTATTCCTTTCTCTTGTTGAACTGCATCCTTTGCCAACTGTAGTAAGCTAAAGCATAGGAAATTATACTTTGCTTTGATGTCCCTTGGTTCATTCTTCAAGAATCGCCAGGGCAATGTTTCAACAAAATAAATGCTTCAGTCTGTTTATTGTTGATAATATATATGTTATATTTGAAATTGCTGTAAATTTGTGACATGATTGCGTTTATCTGTTTGCCTTCAAAGTTATCCTTGCATTTGAGTACATTCCAATCTGAGTGGAAACCTGAAACATCTAACAGGTAGAAGGAGGAAGAATGCGATTATCCGAGGAAGCTAGAAATGGGTTAGAATTTTTGAAACGCAAGAGGCTTCAGCGTGCACAAGCCGTTGCCGCCTCTCAGACTAGTGTTGCTAACATGATGAATAGAAGTGGAGGAGATGCTTTGAGAGCTTCAGCTTCATGTGGTACAAGGTTGCACAGTGATCCGGATGTCTTTTTCAAACGGAAGGTGGATAAGTTTGATACAAGTGATTTGGAATGGACTGAGAACATTCCGGAATGTCCTGTATATTCTCCGACGAAGGAGGAATTTGAAGATCCTTTGATTTACTTGCAGAAGATAGCTCCAGAAGCTTCTAAATATGGTATGGAGTTTGGTCTGTTGAGACTGTTATTAGTTCTATTGTATACTAACGATAGTAGTTTGCACTGGTGTTTTCTTATTAGTTAATCACTAAAGCTGGGCATTAACATGTGCCCAAGTTTTCGCATTCTCATAATTTTGCCATTTTGTATATCTGGCTTTTCGGTGCGTAGATCATTTGTAAGAGATGAAATGATTGAATGATGCGGAGAGTATTCTGCAAACCCCCATATCCAGCCACATGCACTTACAAACTGATCAATATAATTCTATACTTTTAGCCATTCAAGCATAGTTTGGTTTAGATTTTATCATGGAGGAGCTTCGATTAAAATAACTTACTTATAGAAAAATCATCATAAGCTTATTGACAACTAAGGAAGTAGAGAGAATTTCTGAAAAAGAATTGGTATATGGAAGCTTTGTTAACTTATTCATGAAGCTGATGTTTAAAAATCACAGTTATTGCAAGATTTCCTTTACATTAATGTAGTAGTTTAAATAATTTTATTAATGCAACTGACATTTTCTGAAAATTTCTTATTTGAATTTGGTATTTATGGTCTAGGATGGTATTCTCTTTAAACAAACTGTAGCTGTTCGATGATGTTAAATTTAGCGAGAGAATCACCATTCATCTTGTATCTTGAAGCTTTTTCTTATTTGAAAAAGCTCAAATAAAATAATATTGAAACCTAGAAGTCAATAGATATACTGAGATGGTTGGAGGTTGTTGTTAAATGTTAAAATGATTTTTTTATCACTATCTTACTATCTTCTCTTGTACCATCCCTTTTCTCAAAATATTTTCCCAAGGTTTTCACTGCCTCATCTTTCCTGCAACTATTTTTGTTATTGATAAGATGATTATGGGATTGCAGTTGATAATTTGAAATTTTAGTAGTAGAAGTTATAGATTCAACTTAATGAAAGGACAATTTCTACCTTGCATTGCATGTTATTTATCATGTCTTCTCTTCTTATGGAAAGCATAGATGAAATAAGTAGTGATAGAGTTATAACCTAACTTTTTTATTTGAATCTCTGATAAATTCTAGGTATATGCAAGATTGTTTCGCCTTTGAGTGCTTCTGTACCTGCTGGGGTTGTTTTAATGAAAGAGAAAGCAGGATTCAAGTTTACAACTAGAGTACAGCCCCTCCGCCTTGCTGAATGGGACACTGAAGACAAAGTCACATTTTTTATGAGTGGAAGGTAGGTGCTCTAGTGTGCATGTTAATATTTGTAATCTCAACATTATATATCATTTCTAATTTCTAATTAATACAATTATAATTCAATCAGAAATTATACATTCCGCGATTATGAGAAAATGGCAAACAAGGTTTTTGCACGAAGATATTGTAGCTCTGGATGTCTTCCAGCCACTTACTTGGAAAAGGAGTTTTGGCATGAAATTGGTTGTGGGAAAATGGACACTGTTGAATATGCATGTGATGTTGATGGTAGTGCATTTTCATCTTCTCCTACCGATCAGCTTGGGAACAGCAAATGGAATTTAAAGGTGTTAAATTTACTACTGTCTCTCTTTTTTATATTTGGTCATTTTTTTTCGTTAACCTGTCTTTTATTTATTTAACATTTGTGTCAGTATTTTAACTGAATGACGGATCTTGCTTGTCAATTAACTTACTAAATACTCCCTCTATTATTTTAGAATCTTTCCCGTTTGCCCAAATCAACTTTGCGTCTCTTGGAAACTTCAATTCCGGTATGGCAATTTCTTATCTTTATCAATAGTACCATTTATATACTATTTTTTGGGTGTCTTATATTGGGCTTTATTTCAGGGAGTAACAGAACCCATGCTATACATTGGAATGCTGTTTAGTATGTTTGCGTGGCACGTGGAGGATCATTATTTGTACAGGTATAGTCGTATTAACTAGTTATATTATAGCAGTGAAGCATTATGTCAATCTAATAATTCCTTCTCTAGTTGCATGTTTAATGATATTGATATATTATATGGTAATGGCAGCATCAATTATCAGCATTGTGGTGCATCAAAAACATGGTATGGTATCCCTGGTCATGCAGCTTTGGAATTTGAAAGGGTAGTGAGAGAACATGTATATACTACTGATATTTTGTCAAGCGACGGGGAAGACGGAGCCTTTGATGTTCTCCTGGGGAAAACTACTTTATTTCCGCCTAATATTTTATTGGACCATAAAGTCCCTGTCTATAAAGCTGTTCAAAAGCCAGGAGAGTTTGTAATAACCTTCCCTAGAGCGTATCATGCAGGCTTCAGTCATGGTTAGCATAATCTTTTCAATTATTTTGTTCCTAGAATGAAATCTTTTCTTGTTACCACCCATTTAATGCATGTTAAATATTAATGTTGCATATTTTCAATAAAATTCTAGGTTTCAACTGTGGAGAAGCGGTGAACTTTGCACTTGATGATTGGTTTCCTCTTGGAGCTATTGCGAGCCGGCGATATGCACTTCTTAACAGGGTTCCTTTACTGCCCCATGAAGAACTTCTTTGCAAAGAAGCGATGCTTATTCATTCATGCGTGGAACTTGAAGATTCAGACTTTCCTTCCCCAGACTTGTTATCTCCTAATACAACCAAGATATCTTTCATTAACTTGTTGCGTTTCCAGCACTGTGCCAGTTGGTCGCTAATGAAATCAAGGGCATGTACTAGTGTTTCTTCACATTCGCATGGCACAATTCTCTGTAGCCTGTGCAAACGTGACTGTTACATTGCTTATGTTGACTGCAGCTGTCACATGCATCCTGTATGCCTACGTCATGGTAAGCTCTGCTCAATGTTATTTACCAAGTATGCTTCAATGCATGCAAAATCATTTTGGGAAATTGAGCTTGGGAACTCAATATTCATGTTTATTCCTGATCTTAAATCCAACTATAACTTCCCACTTTTATCTCGTTCTACTATATTTTTTCAATGTTTTAATATTTTTCCTTTATAGATATTATTGATTCCTGATCTTAAATCCGTTGGTAATACTGAATTTTTTTAACTTACCAACTATAACTTCCCACTTTTACTCCATTTTACCATGTTTTTTCAGTGTTTTAATTTTTTAATTTTAAAATAAATAAAATTTTTAAAATAAATAAAATTTAAAAGCATTCTTAATAAATATTATACGCGCAATGCCATAATGATCTTTGGTTGTCACCTGCTTGTTTGCTCCCATGCCTCTTACTTAGTACTATTTGCCATATGTCTGGTTGTCATGCTAGTGGTCATTTACTGTCATTATCTTACTGCATAATAATGAATAAATCATTATCTCAATTCTAGACCGTAAGATAAATTTGTTCACTACAATGAACCTTTTACTGCATTCGTTTTCATGTATTTTGATGATACAACATTCTCGTTTTTAATGTCTATAGTTTGAAATTTCAGAAGTTAAATCTCTTGACTTCAGCTGTGGGAACAAGCACACTCTATATTTGAGAGATGATATTGGGGACATGGAAGCTGCAGCCAAGATGTTTGAGCAGGAGGATGGGATATTGGATGAGATAGGCAAGCAATCCAAAAGTGAACAAAATATGTATTCATATCCTTTGTCAGATATGTTTCAGAGAGCTGAAGCAAGTGGATATGAACCGTATTGTGAGCTTAAATTTGATTCTATGGAGTTTTATACAACTCCAGAACAGGCAACAAATAATCAAGAGTGTGGCATACAAAGTCAATTTGGATTAGGACATTACTCAGAAAACCATAAACCAGAAGTGTCCGAGGTTTCCTTTTCTGCTGCATCAACTCTTTGTTCTCTTTCAGAACATCTTGAGTGTTCCTCTGCTAATAAAGATGTAAGTTTTTTCAATACAAATGTGTTTTAATATTGACAATTTGTTACTGCTCCACACTGCTAGGGATTTTGAACAGCTATTATTTTTAAATAAACTAACGCAGTGCATTCTTTAGGTCGAGGTGCAGACTAACTTGAAAGTGGACATTATTGATTGCAAAGAACTTGGTGAAACAATATCCAACAATGCATGCAGATCTTCACTATTCCCTGCTCGGTATCATGAAAGCTCGGTTAAAGTGCATGATCTTCAGAAACCTGATGTGAAGCCTATAGTGGATAATGACAGTGATGATTCTGATTCAGGAATATTTAGGGTAAAGCGCCCTGCCTCTCTAAAAGCAGAGAAAAGAAATTTGAAGGTTGTGGCTACGAAACATTCTGAGCAGCAGGTGTGTAAATAGTCTCATTGTTGACTTAATCAGTTCCATCATGTAAATCTGCTGGATATTCTGTTACTCAGTCTATCTGTAGCCATTCTTGTCACATATTTCCAATATTTTCCATCTTACAGAAATTGACTATCTAATTTTGATCCATATAGGGACTTAAACGATTGAAGAAAGTCCTTCCTGAAGGAAAAAGCAACAGGCAACAAATGAATGTCAGACCCAGTGAATCAAGTTATAAATATAACCCAGTTAGTCATAAAGTTGATATCGGAATTTCCTCTAAGGACAGATTTGCAAGGGGAAATGACACTCCCATTCCTGTAAGATATAAAAAGTCAGGCAATGAGGAAGTAAGTATGCATATGCAACTAAATCACCACCGGAGAGAAAGGTTTCAGCAAACTTATAGAGAAGCGTCATCCATTGAGATTGGGTCTAAGCGACTTAAAGTCCGAGGCCCTTCATTTTTGGGCTTAGAGAGCAGGTTGAATTGAAGCTTCAAGTTGCCTTTTGAAATAGATTGCGAGAGTCTGACATTGCTAACTTCATTTTAGCTAAATGGCTTTCTAACAATACAGAAAATCCAAATGATTGATTCTGGAAGCAGCTGCCATGTATTTAACCAATTAGGATAAGAATTTACATTCTTTGTGCAGACAAGCCCTAACATTTGGGCCATCTGCACTGGTGGTGACCCTTTGGGTTCTCTGGCCGGGGTGTTTTTCCTACTTCGCTGGGTGAACCTGACCGACCTGCAAAACTAGGAAGTTAGAAATTGGCTTAGTGGTTCGTTATTTCAATGTAAATTTGTTTACTTTCTAATCAGTCGTTTAGTTCTTGTTAGCAACATGGGTCCCTCCATTGTTTTCTTGTTAAAATGCTGTCAGCTGCTTCCCCTTTTGATGTTAATTCATTCTTTTTGTAGAAATAGGTCCTTGTACCTAAAACTACAACAATAAAATTCAAATTAGTTCTTTATTTTTTCTCAATATCATTTATATCATTTGTTAGCTTTCATTGTCGCAGGTTTTGTTCAAATAATATATGCTTGTAGGATTTTATTGTTGTGCTATAATGGTAATAATATACTCTTAATGTTTCTTTCAAAATTTCTAGAATAATATTATCTTGTAATACAAGCAATACAAATCTTGTTATACATGGGAGTAAGGAGTAAAGGGTAATAATATTCCTACGTTTACTGTAGCTAAATACGATGCGACTGTTATACCTTGCTTGAAAATAGGTTTCCTTTAAGTTTGTTACATATAATTTTGTCTTATCAGCATTCTTTTCAAGTTACGAATTTGGTTATGCGTTCATATTAATATTTTCCAAAATATATAACCTCTTAGGTTATAAAATTTTATTTTGTAAGTTTATATTTTTATACGCTAAAAAAAGAAATAGAAGCTGAGCTGGGCTAGACAATAGAAAAAGATATTGGAAATATAATCTGCAAGGAAGAAGATATTAAAACAATGGCAATTTCTTTTTCACTCTTGTAACTTCTCCCACACTTTTGAAAATCTAAAAATAGTTTGAAAACTTTTAGAGATGTATCTCCGAACGCATTTTAAAGCTACTCGGTTTTTGTTAAAAATAAATTCGAAAATGCATTTTCGAAAATTTTCAAGGTGAATTTTGAGATGTATCTCCGAAAACTCTTTTGATTCAAATTACTACACATTTTTAATTAAAAGTGACGCTTTTGTCGGAGTGTCAATTTTAACCAATATTAGAGTCATAGAAATTGTATTTTCACATTCGAGTTCTTGTGTTCCCGCGTTTCTGGCCTTTACGCAATCTAGCATAAAAATCTCAAATTTCTAGAAAAATCAACTCTGAATCGAAATTTCACCGTACCATTTCATCAGAAAAAATCAGGGAAACAAATCTTGTATTTTGGGACAATATATGACACTTCTCTTTTCATATTTAAAAAATAAAATTCAACAAAATCCGTAGACTTTCAATTTGATTTTATTTGATATTTAATTGTATTTTCAGATTTTTATAATTTTATTTTAATCGTTTTTCTATTTTCTAATTGTTTTTCTCAATATGATCATTGTTGATATTTACATATTTGTTGTATTACTGATGCGTGAATACTATGCCTGTCTATCCGAATACACCCAATACTAAGTTAAAAAAAATATATTAGAAAACTTTTCAGATATGCATATCCAAAAACTATTTTTCATAAAAAATAGGATTTATCCAGATATACATCTCCGAAACTAGTATAATAGGGGTGACTCTCATATTTGGATTCAATTAATATAATAGGGATATATTTTCGAAAATTGAGGGCATTTTTAAATTTTCGCCAAGAATTTGAGAAGATATAAAGATGAGAGAAGAAATACCAAAACAATTAGCAGCAAACAGCTTTTCAGATGTACTTAAATTGAGTATTTTCCAGGTTTATTATATAAATACATAATATGTGTCTCACAGTGTGTTAACTATGATTATGCATATAGATTTTTTATGGGCTTCTAATAATAAGTTTTTACTCTCGAGCTTAATATTAAACTCACATTTGACAAATTTTTGATTTTCTATACATTTTGATTTATCTATATATTTGTAGAAATTTACCATTATGTTGTGTAATAAATAGTTTAGATAGGTTTATTAACTGAGTAATCTGTTTGATATGTAATTTAGATGAGCAATACGTTTTGAGTATGTTGGATTACCATGCATCTCTGTCAATTTCATGTTTTGATCAGTTGTAGGTTAATACAGAAATGCATTTATGTATTTGATCAAAATTTGATTTTCCTAAAATCCGAAATGCATTTTCGTATTTAGTCTATCTGCATTTTTTGTCTTTATTTTTATTGTGTTTCATCTGGATAACTCTTATGCAGAACTGTGATGCTTTAAAATGCATACGTCAACCATAGTTGAAAGATTGCGATTTTGCCGCAGCATGCTGAGCAATAGTTTAAGGATGTGATGTAGCTATCTGGGCTGTGAGACTTATGTGGGATCGAGTATTCTAATATTAATCATGGTATGTTGTATGCGTTTGTTGAAATATAATATTCCGGGATACCATCTTTTCATCTTCCACATAGTGAGATGTCCATCAAACTAGACGATGTCTCATGTATGTTGCATCTTCCGATCAGGGGAAGACTATTAGACCACGACAGGATTATGAAAGATGAGGCAATGGAGTTGATGGTGATATATTTAGGAGCGGACCCATGGCATATCCTGAAGGAGATAGAAGACACTCGAGGGTGTCATGCTAGGTTTGAAATGGTGAAAAACACAAGAAGGGGGGGGTTGAATTGTAAAACTGAAATCTAAAGCAATTGACAAGATATTTTTATCCTGGTTCGTTTGATCTCAAACTACTCCAGTCCACCCGTCAAGGTGATTTCGCCTCTCTCCAACGAGGTCTTAATTCACTATATTCAACTGAATATTACAGACTGCTTTAACAACTGCTAAAGCCTTCTTGATTCAAACCACAACCCGGTTTGTCAAGGTAACACTTTCTTACAAAGAGATAAAACAATGTGTGTGGATGTTTTCTACAAAACTTTATCACAACTGTGATGTATACACAAATTGAAGCTTAGAAACTAGATTGCTAAACAGTAATGGAATATCAGAGTGTGTGGTTTAGCAAAACTGGTAGAACGAAGATTATGGTTCAGCTTTTGTGCGTGTAGAGATTTGGAGAGCATTAACCATTTCAATCTTCAAAGCCTTGTTTATATAGCACTTGAGATGATGAACGTTGGATGCAATATTCTTGATTCAATGCTAATAACAAGCTTTCCTTTTTGAGCAGATCTTGTCTGGAATGAGGCCGTTGGAATTAATTAGCTTTCAATGCATAGTACCGTTGCTTACTTAATGCAAGTTCTGGCTTGGCTCATTCTGATTCTGCTTCGCTGCTGATGAACTATTGTGTTTCTGTATCAGAGTATTTGAGCGCAGTTCTGTTCATCAAGCTTCAGCATGTACGTGAGTTGATCATCTGATTTTGACGTTCTGATGTAGCAACTTCTGATGCTGGTGTCTGAAATCAAGTTCTGATGCTGAATAGACGTGATCTTGCTTATATCAATCAGAGTATCTGCAAGTCAGAACATAATAATTTTAGGCAGCAGATAGTTCAAACATGAAACTTATAAATACTATATCTTTTCACTTTGTTATCATCAAAACTTAAATATAGGGTAGTGGATTCAAACATTGTTCTAACAATCTCCCCCTTTTTGATGATGACAAAAACTAGATATTTTAAATTAAAATAACGTGAAAAGGTATCTGGAATATGTATCAGAATAAGAAGTAAAGAATAAGGAGTAAGGAAATACTCCCCCTGAGTTTATTACTTCCCTTTGATTATACGTGTTCTTCAGGATCAGATCTTTTTCTTTCTTTGAACATCAGATTATCAGAGTCTTTGACTTATCAGAGAGCAGAGCTTCAGAGCTTTTCTTGTCAGAGCTTTGCTTTGGATCAGAGTATTAGGACGATCAGAACTTCATATTGATCAGAGCAACATTGATCAGAGCTTCTAGTCTTCAGAGTGTCCAGGAGCTTCCTTGTGCCTGTAGACTTCAAACAAAACAGAAAAAACATTTCAAGTAATAAAGTTAGAATGTTTGAGAATTTCTGTCTAGTTAGCCGTTATTGATTTAAATATCATTTCTTGTTCTCCCCCTTTTTGTCAGCAATCAAAAAGTGTTGGTGATGTGCTAAAACAATTAAGATCAGAAAAACTAATCATATTAATATAGTTCAGAATCAGAGCAAGAAAATATTACAAAACATAATCAAAACAGTACATCAGAAAATCAGGGAAAACATGAAAAAGGTCATGCAAAAAAAAGATTTAAGGTTGAGGAGGCAAGCGTGTGAACAGGCTCTCCAGCATCGCTTGAATCTTTTAAGAAGTTTCATTTTGCTTATGAACCATGCTGACAACAGTGTCAATCTTGCTGTCCTGCACATCCATTCTTGCTTTCATCTTCTGATCGTTTTCATCCATCCGCTGCTGCAGACGTATGTCATTCAGCCTTAGTTCTTCCAGAGTCTGCCTGTCCAAGGCAGCTTGAGAAGCATCAGAAGGAGAAGGCTTCTCAGAACTTTCAGCAACATCATCTGCTTGACTTTCAGCCTGAATTGTCTTGTCTTCTTCTGATGGTTGCACCTTTGCAGCTTGCTGTTTCTCAGACCAAGGTTCACTGTCCAGAGGGAGCACGTCCTTTTTCAGAAGCATACTTTCAGCTTCATTCAGAAGTTTGCTGAAATTGTGTTGTGCCTGCTCATAGTTGATATCCTGCAACTTGAGGGCTTCAGTACGTATCCAACGTCTGAACTGTGACCAGAGCTGATCAGAAGCAGCTGGGTCAATCATCCCAGGACAGACTTGCTTCAAAGAAGCAATCCATTGCAGCACACCTGTTTCAAAATTCAAAATACCAGAGCCAACATCTGGTTGCTTTGGTTTTGG